GAGAAAATCCATGCGACCACGGAGAGAGACATGCAAACTCCAAATCTACAGGCGTCAGGGTCGGGGTTGAACCCATGACCCTCCTTCATACCAGGCGAGGGAGATAACATCTCGCCATCGCAGGGGTGGTCGAAGACAAGATGACCACAATGCACCTGTAGCTGGTCTGTCCCGTCTTTCTCCAGCCGTGATCTTAACGGGAGAACATGCGATATGCACTTTTTCAGGAACTACTCATTGATAAAAAAAAATCACAGAAGCGTTTTACATATCTCTGTTGTTTGAAACTCGTGGTTTTCAGGCCTGCACTCTTCTGCTATAATGGGAGTATTCGGACTACAACACCAACGTTCCACCCTGGTTCACTGTGCCGGATAGCGTATGCATAATATTAATTCAGTCAAGTTATCGTGAGCCATGTTCACTCCACTGCTGAATGAAGGTCATCCAATGCCGCCACCAACTCTTACGATCCTGTGATGTAATAATTCACCCATCACGTGCGCATGAACTGATTTAATCATCACTATGAATGGTTTACTGTCCTTTCGGATGCGGTTCAAGTAATATTAAAGTGCTATCCATTTGTAAAGTAGTCACTTGGCGGGAGACGACTTTGACGGGTAGCACACCTTTTTATTAACACCAACTGTTACACGGGTGGCAACTGCCACATAACCCACGAGGTTCCCCTGAGCTATACCCACACGGGCTCTCACGCCCCGTAGCTTCTTGGAACACACCCGGCTGGGTTATTAGTCTCGACTCTGGGTCCCACAAGCTGGTTCCACACGGACACCAGGCCCCGGGTCCCACAGCCTCGCCTCTGAGCCGCACAGGGTCCCGGCCCTTACAAGGACAGCGGGGCTAGGGGTCTCAGGGCCCTATCTCTTCAACTCCGTCTTCGATCTTCAGCTGGTAATAACTCCCCGAGTGCTCTCGCGCGTCCCCCTTTATAGTCCTCCATGCGGACGTCGCTGAGAGCACCCACCCAAGTTGACCAATCACCCAGCGCTCTCTCTACGATCCTCTTTCCCATATCGTGTCTGCGTGCACAACCACGCACCCAGCGCCGCCCCGTGATCCATCACTGTCAGTGTGCGTCAACACGCCCCACACTCGATGTAGCCACGCCTGGCGTGCGCACACCCACGCCCCCACCTTGTCGGCGCGCACCGCCACTACACATTCATTAACATTTTTTGTTATTTAATATTGTAAAATGTTACTTCATGTAAAATAGTACATAATTTAATACATCCATATTTCAAATATCAATGTGGTTACTAACTTCGGGTTCCGTGCATGATTGCCTTTTTTATGTAGAGTACTGCTCTTTCACAGTAATGGTTAATCTTAATCACCACCATGAATCTTCTCATTAACCTCGTTTTTATTCAATGGGAATACATTTCAATTATTGGGCGAAATTCATAAACTAACAAGATGATTTCTTAACACTGAATGCTAAGTGCATTTCTGATCTTATTGCAAATGCATTTAAAAACAGTTTGCCTAACCTTATACATTTAACCAAATATGCTTTAAAAAAAACACCCATCAACATGCAGCTATAGCCTATCCACTGGTGGATGAAGCACTCCACAAGCCCACGTCACTTCCCAGTCTTGTAATGCAACAATCTATCTGGCTCCTGTACGAGATAAAAACGTATCTACAACCCCGGTCGTGTAATGTTTTTAAAAGGGTCTGCATTTATGAGAACATATTATGAAAACAAAGCACGGTTGTAATAGACCAATTCAACCAATTTTTTATTCAGATTATCTGCCACAGAGATATTTCCCTTTTAGACTAAGGAAAGCAATATAAGCCTTATGGCGGGACCCTGGGGTCTCATAAGCCTCCGGCTCTCGCATAAACATAATGTAAACAAAAACTTTGCTCTGTCACCAATGGGTTTGAAGGATGGTTGCAAGTGTTGTCTCGTTAAAGTATGCCTTTAAAACTGAAAACTACTTACCTGCAGTACCTCTATTTAAATACACTATCGAAAAAATAACTTACACCCCTCTGTCAATCATCGTGTTTCTCAGTGGATTTGTGAACACACTTTGTAAACAGTACATAAAATAGTACGCGTTTTCAATGCGCTGTTCATATTGTAACAAGCGTTTATACCAACGTTACTCTACAGAGTAGTGGGTCGCCGCCCCTCTTATCCGCATTGATACGAGCGATATGTGGGGACTATGGCTTAACCACAAACAAATCCTATCCGCACAGATGCATGCAGACAAGTATCAAACAGGAGGAATTAACGATACAACGCATCTCATCTGTTAAATATCTGCAGGTAATAGGATTGTCATCGATTGATCCTGGCTGCAGACATTGGTAGGTCATAAATAATGAGAGCAGTTTCACTGTATTATGCATACCGTTATGGCAAATAAAGGACTTGGGTCGTGTAGGCAGTTTGAGCAGCTTTGGATAAGATGATCCTGTCCATACCCGAGCATGGAGTGCACTCGCTTGTTCAGCTCTTCTGCGCATTCGTCCTCTCTACGCTTGGACGACATGACAACAGAATGATTCGTGCCAGGTGGGTCGCGACGTGTATGTGCTTGCTGGGACGGAGTCGCCAATAAAAAAATAATTAATTACGCTTTTTTTTTTTTTTTGGGGATCCCGGGGTTCCACCATAAGGTCTATATAGTAAATTTGGGTCAGATCGCGATCTAACCCAAACACCTTTATTACAGTAAATTTACTCAATTCTATATTACTAGCAGCCCGTGCCTTCTTTGGACGTGTCCAGCCAGCCAGCAAAACGTTAGTCTAATATAACATACTCTTAGGGTTTTTCGGTAAAGTCACGTAGGTAAAAAATAAATAATAGAAATAAAGATTATAAATCACGACGTTTTGTTTCTAATATAACAGTTGCCGCACATTTGTGCGTGATACACGGCCTACGCTGTGGGGGGTGGGGGGGGAGATGCGTGACGTCAGCAGGTACTCTGCGTAACGCGGCCGCATGCGGGTGACGTCACACGGATTGTGACGTCGCCGCTCACTCTCCGGGCAATATATCCATTTCATTATCATGGGACCTAATATCCATAGCCAGGTTTTTTGGGTTAGATCACGTGAATATATAAATGCGTCGTGAAACCTGCCACCACCCGACGTAAACAGAACATGCCAATTCGTTACTAGTACAACAGCGGTGTGTTGTCGAGCAAAGCCACAACATGTACAATCTGAGTACGACGTTTCGCCAGTAATTACAACTAGCTTCATCAGGCGACAGCCAGATTTGTAGAGAAATCCTCCTGTGTCGTTCCGTAAGTAGAGGGGTAGATGTGATGATATCACTTGTCAGCCATTCTTGAGCGAAGATTATTGATGCATATAATGACGACGAGTGTCCATTGCCGGTTGGGTTATTTATATGGTAATCGGCGTGCATTATGCATGCGCATGCTGTATTTGGGAGTATTACATTTATTTGGTGTTCTTTTAGTCGTGTGCTGATCATTCATCCTGTTCTCCCATAGCATTTTCCACAAGTACAATTAATCTGGTAAACACCTGTTGATAGCTTCGGTTTATACATCTTTTGTACCAGATATTAATTTCTGTATTTTATGTACCATGCCAAATCTGACTCGGATGTTTTGTTTTCCAAACATCTGGCTAGTTTATCGGTTACATTGCAGGAGCTATGTTGGAAAAACAGGACTAATGATCAGCACGAGACTAAAAGAACAAAAATATTAAATATTCTCAAATACAGCTGTCGGCAGTGGCAGAACACGCGTGCCAAAAAGAATACTAAATTGATTTTGATAATGTTGATATTCTGTACAAAACTAGTTACAACTGGTCAAGACTAATTAGATAATCTATCGTAACAGACTTAGTGCTGCTTGGAAGCAAATAAAAAAATAATACATTGTTTAAATGCATGCCTATTCAGGTCACCATACTTCAATAGGGATTAGCGTTGAACAATAACAGGTACGTCTATTTTAGTGCACATAATCGACAGGAGATACAAGAACAATTCACTTGCACAATGCGCATGAATAATGCACACTGATTACCATACAAATAGCCCAACCGGCAATGGACACCCATTGTCATGTATATGCATTCATTAATCCACCCCTAATTCGCTCAAGAAGGGCTCACAAGTGATGTCATCACATCTACCCCTCTATCCAAGGAACGAAACAGGAGGATTTCTCCACAAGTCTGGCTGTCGCCTGATGAAGCTAGTTGTAATTACTGGCGAAAAGTCGTACTCAGATTGTAAATGTTGTGGCTTAGCTCTCCAACACACCGGTGTGCTGTACGAGTAACTAATTGATTGGCATGTTCTGTTTACGTGACAACCCTTACTAATTGGCTGTGTCATGTGGTGGCGGGTTTAATTATACATTTATGTATTTACGCGATCTAACCCAAAACACCTGTATTATGGATGATATTGGTCTCGAAAGCCTACGTGTTAAACCAATATAAGTATGTACGTTTCACTTATTTTGCACTGTACGTAGCCAATCTTGCTAAGCGATTCATTGTGCATTGCTGGGCGTTATATCTTGCAAATTACGGGTAATAACATGGAAGAAGAACTAAATTGTATGACGCCACATACAAAATAAAAATGTTTTAGTCACATCGGCCTCTTTGGCTTTCCAGGCCAATACCATCTAGAAAGCATATTGTTTAAGCAAGCACATTAATTTTCTTGGTTCTTTCGGTAAAGTCACGAAGAAGGGAAATAATAAAATAATAAAAATAAAACACTAAAATACAATTCTCACGACGTTTCGGCCACAACGCAAGCAGCCGTCCTCAGGTGAAGAACAGGGCTTTTAGAAAGACAGCCCTGTTCTTTATTATTTTATTATTTCCCTTCTACGTGACTTCACCGAAAGAACCAAGAAGATGAATCCCTGCAGTCACGAAAGCTTTAAATCGAAATTTAAGCACATTCATTGTTCCGTGTCTTCGTTCCCCACCAGGTGATGATGATGGGCAGTACTGCGGTGGCACGTGCGCTGCTGGCCGCTGGGGCTGACCCCAACGTTCGCGATGCGGTGCTGGGGCTCACCCCGGCGCACGACGCGGCTCGCGAGGGCTTTGTGGCCGTGCTGGCCGAGCTGCGCGCAGCCGGCGCGAGCCTCTGGCAGCGCGACAACCTGGGCCGCACGCCCACAGACCTGGCAGCAGCCAATGGTCATCTCGACGTCGTAGATTTCATTAACTCCGTCGTCGATTTCGGCGCTGGGGACAACGGGGTGAGGGAGTAGCGCTTTCATACGTTCTCCCTTTTCGGATATTAGAAGCAACTGGGAGCTTTGCACTTTTAAATAGTCTAGATTGAGAAACACATTTTTTTACAACTGCTTTTTGTGTTTAGTTTGTTGTCTTTCCTCCGCATCTCAGATTAGCATGTAAGGTGCGAAAGAAGTTCAACATGCATACGTAGCGGGTCAAGCAGCTCCGTAGTGTAACTGTGTTTAACATGATGGGCACGGAAAACTAAAAATCAAATAGGGGGCATGAAATAGTAACATTCACACCCAGGCATCGCACAGTATTCACATGCAGTCCCGTCTATGTTTTAGGTGACCGAATGTAGATTTTGTTTTGCAAGGCACACACGCACAGTATTGTGTCTGCTGCCATCTAGTGGCAATTTCTGGAACATCAAATATTACATTTAACAACGGGCGATGCGCCCCGACCATTGTGAAACGCTTCCCCAAAAAAAATCTAAACTGACCAAGTTTACAGAATTAAAATTTAAAAGTGCTTGGCTACAGGGTGACGTGCAGTTCAAAAATACGGCTGCAAAAGGCCTAAACAGACTTTTTAAACATGGTAAACGCCAATTGTCCTATCATGCATTCTGCTCCTGCTGTCAACCCCAATGTATAATGTACTGACAGTTATTTAACATGACTATTGGAGTTTAACACGTAGGCTTTCGCTACCAATATTATTCAAAGGTTTTTGGATTAGATCGCGTAAGTATAAATGTGTCGAAACCCTCCATCACCCGATACGGCCAATCAGTAAGGGATTTGTCACAAAACACCAAATAGTTACTACTTCAGCCCACCGGTGTGATAGAGTGAATCCACAACATTTACAATACGACGTTTCGCTGGTAATTACATCCAGCATCATCGGGCGATTTGCTAGAATAGTGAAGCCATCCACCTGCTTCCGGTCTTATAACGAGCAGAACGCCGTCATTACTGAACCCAATCAGATGTAGAGCTCAGAGGCGGAAGGGGGGTATTGTAATTATATAATAGATTAGTAATCAGTTAATTAGTATGGTTCCTCTATAAGGAATTGTAATTATAAGATGTATTACTTAATAATACGCTTCCAGGCCACACTAAGCCTGTAGCTGTCGGAGCGGTGAAAATTATTTGTATTTCTCTGAATTTCAATGGCTTATCTAATTAGTCTTGGCCAGTAATAATTAGTTTCATATAACACTTCAACGTTATTAAAATCAATTGAGTGTCCTTGTTGGCAAGCATGTTCTGCAACTGCCGACAGTTGTGTTTGAGAGTATTTCATATTTATTTGGTGTTCTTTTTAGTCTTACGCTAATGTTATGTCCCGTCTGTCCAATATAGCATTTACCGCATGAGCAATTAATCCGTAACACACCTTCTGTTAATAACTTAGGTAATTCATCTTTACACGTAATGAATTTCTAAATCATCTCAATGCACAAAACCCGGCCATCCACTTCACCATGGAAATGGAGGTGAACAACACACTCCCCTTCCTAGATATTTTGCTTGGAAGCGGCCTAAATGGTAAAATAACAGCATTTACCAAAAGGGAGCACACACTGATGCCTATCTGAATGCAGATTCGCATCATTTCCCAGCACAGAAATCCTCTCTCATCAAGACGCTCATACATCGGGCAAAAAGTGTCAGATGGTGAAAGTCTAAGGAGAGAGATTAAACATGTTAAAGAAGCACTACCACTGAATGGCTACAATAATGTTCAAATTAACAGAGCATTGAATGGCAAACCAAGACCTAACAACAATACTGCTGAAAGTGATCAGATCAAAACAATTAAAATACCAAATATCTCAGGAGTAACTGGCAAATTAGCATTAAAGTAAGATTTGGTACGGTACACAACATTCTAAAACTAATATCTTGTACTAAAGATTAATTACCTAAGTTATCAACAGGTGTGTATCGGATTAATTGCTTATGCAGTAAATGCTATATTGGACAGACCGGACGTAACAGCGTAAGACTAAAAGAACACTAAAAAAATATGAAATACTCTCAAACACAACTGTTGGCAGTTGCAGAACATGCTTGCCAACAAGGATACGATATTGATTTTGATGACGTTGAAGTGTTATGTAAAACGAATTATGACTGGCCAAGACTAATTGGAGAATCCATTGAAATTTAGAGAAATAAAAATAATATGTACTGCTCTGACAGCTACAGGCTTAGTGCGGCCTGGAAGCATATTATTAAGTAATACATCTTATAATTACAATTCCTTATAGGGGAAACACTAATTAACTGATACTAATCTATTATATAATTACAATACCCCCCCTTCCTCCGCCTCTGATCTCTGCATCTGATTGGGTTCAGCGATGACGTCCTGCTCTATTTAAGAACGGAAGCAGTTGTATGGCTTCACTATTCGAGCAAATCGGCCGATGATGCTGGATGTAATTAATAGCCAGCGAAACGGCGTACTCAGATTGTAAATGTTGTGGATTCACTCTTCAACACACCGGTGGGCTGAAGTAGTAACTATTAGGCGTTTTGTTTACATGACAAATCCCTTACTGATTGGCCGTGTCAGGTGGTGGAGGGTTTTGACATATTTATACCGGCGCGATCTAACCCAAAAACCTCGATTATGACTATAGGAATTTACAATGAGGGCTGAGGTGCCAGGTCCAATACCTGGATGATCATTAGCTGCGCAAACTGGTTGCGTGCAACTGAATGCCTTACGTGCGAACGTCTTTGCAACCAGTTGTATAAGGTAGAGACAGACTCCCACTTTCAAGTATCGATATGCTCTGCAGTTTACAGTGATTGTCAATAAAGTGGGTTCTCAAGTCTAGTGAGCTGGAGGTCTCATCCATGTCAGCGGTAACTGGACAAAATAAAAATCGCAATCAATAATTAAAGATCTTGGATTGACTGATGTTACGACTCATTTCATATCAGGATTTGTCTGGGGAAGTCCTGTGAAAGAAAATCCCTTTTCGCAGACATTCTCTAACACGTGCGCTAAACTGCTTTGTGAGATTTTTTTTTCCGGATTCTTCATCTCTTTACATGCCAATAGCACAATTCAGGGAAGGAAAAAAACAAACCTCAGGAAAGGGGGGAAAAGGAAAATAATAGTTATCTAATTTGGGCCGAGGAGTTCGATCATGGGTGCACCCAGGCTGTTCAACAATAGTCTATTCTCTAACGTGGTAGTTGCATTCCTGTAGAACACCACGTTTTGGAAAAATCGTCTTATTATAAATAGTATAGGGTAAAGCACAGTCTGCGATAACACACGAGATGCATACGCAGGCTGAACAAAGCATCTCGAAGCATGCAGCAGCATCCTAATGCCTTGTGTGATGCTATGTTGATCAGCCGTACAACCACTTATTCGTCCTCGCACGACATAGATCTGTGCACTTAATCCAATTCGCATCCGCGTTATAAAAATGTGTTCCCTAATACTGTACATTCATCACGTTATATCCAATTCGCATTTTTAAAACGTGTTAAAGGAGAACACATTGTAATCACTTGTTTATTCAGGAGAGCCGCACTGATTCCTGGGACAAGCTCTGCGATGCTATATATTAAGATGTGTTGTCAGCCAATTCATGATGTTATACAAGTGGGATGAACCGGAGCACCCGGAGAAAACCCACACGTGCGAGGGGGTAGTACTCCATCCCATTTCACGTGGAAGCAAATGTCGATTCGTCAATTTGTTGTACTGCCTTCTCCTGGCGAGCCAGGGTATGGCACCACCTTGACGCCCACGGGAAAGCGAGTTTCATAACATGTGTGTGATTCCACTCACCCTCGGCTCCACAGCGCTGGAGTACTCGGATGTTTACCGACGCACCTTTCTGAATGCACAGTGTTAAATTATCAATAAAATATGAAGTCAATTCATTGTGTTTTACCGTTTATTTTTTTTATTAAGTTCTCAATTATTTGAATGAGTTGTTTATGCTTTCCAGCTGTTGAAAGTGTGGTGATGTATTAGCTCTGTCCATCTTGTATCGTGGAGGGATATGGTAACTCCTGTAAAAATCATCCAATGTTAACGAAAACGTATATTAAGGTTTCATTATTATTCGGGACATACCCGATTGGAAACCCACCAAAGTGATCGAAGGGCTTGCCCAAAACTTGTCGGTACTCAAAACAGCAAAACTTGCCATTAGAAAATATAAGTTTAGTTGTGGCACAGGTGAACCCCATTTGACAATAAATGCTCAGTTTCGATGAGGACCTAGATAGAGCAAATAAAAAAGTGAACGAAACAAAAACAATTGTGTACGTGGTACAATGATTACTCGGTGATCGTTTTTTTTCTTGTATCGTATCTGTTTTTTTAAAACTTCCCGTAGTATTTGTTTCGGAGTATGAATCGCCATGTTGAAAATTGCTGTTTCCACACACACATTCTCTGACGCGTGGTCGCATTTTCGATGCGTGTTCGGCATGATGTCCGACGTTTCGCTTCGCTCCTCCCCACAATGTCGGTGGGGAGCGAAGCAAACCGTCGGACATCATGCCTGGACCGCACATGGTACACCCCGAAAATACACATGGGAGAGCTATACGGCGGCAGCCACCACACGAGTTGGCTTTCCACATTATTTATTTGCTGGTAAAGTATTTGTGCTTGCATGCAATAGCTTGGCGTGGTGACTTTGCCTGGTTCGTTTGCTAAGCTGTTGCGTGCTGTCTCACTTTATCCTTGTTGCAAGAAGTGAAGTGTTCAAACATGTCATGTGGTGGCTGTGTGCTTTACTTTCAAATCACGTAGGTTGAGAAAGTGCGCATTGAAATAAAGTATAAAAAATAAGAATAGGTTTCACCCTTTCTGGCAATAAAAAAGGTGTTAAGATGTTCAAACACCAAATAGAAGCATTTTGCAAGGAATCAAGTTCGCATTAACCACACCAGAGACAGCCTTCTTTAGGGCCTAGTCTCACCAGTGTCAGACCAGAGAACACCAAAAGGCGAACAGTGCCTATTCTTGT